CATTTCTGTAGAATGGACACAAAATCTCTTAACAATCTGTTTCTCTAGCTAGGACTTCCAAGTAGGGCAGCAGTGAAGATGGGCAATTTGTAAGAACAAAGAGGCTACAGAGATTAGAGTGCACATTCTTGAACACAATCTAAACTGATCTTTAAAAAGCACCCACAGGACTACTTTCAGGGATCATTTCCATAGTTTGTTAAAAAGCACTCGCCTTGTCAAATGCATCATTTGAATCAGAAACACTTCTCTGACAGGTATCAGTGGGAGGCTGACTTTGGACAAATCATTATTTAAAACAAGTTAGGGGAATAATCAGGATGATGCCAACAATAGTAAACTATATCAATGTGTTTACAAAGCACTTTCAGGTTATATTTGTTAAAGAAAGAGCTAAGGAATGTAAAAGCCCAGCCAGCATGGCTCAGCGGTTGAGCATCAACCTATGATCTAGGAGATCTCTGTTCGATTCCCTGTCAGGGCACATGCCCAAGTTTTGGGCTCAATCCCCAGTCAGGGATGTGCAGGAAGCAGCCAATCAATGACTCATCATTGATGTTTCTCTCTCTCTCTCTCTCTCTCTCTCTCTCTCTCTCTCTCTCTCTCCCTCTCCCTTTTTCTCTCTGAAATCAATAAAAACATTTAAAAAAAGAAAAAGAAATTAATGTAACAGAAGATAGATAGTTGCTTTGGTAAAGGTGGTGGTGCTTTGGTCGGGCTATTGTAGCCCCAGCTCTGTCCTCTGTTTGGTGGGCCTTTCTTACCTTACCTTAATGTAAAATCTATCTTTCTGAGAAAGATGCATATAGATCTTAGAGAAGTTTACTTAATAATCATCGTTTTGGCCACAATCTATTATTTTTGTCCTTAACACCCTCCTTCACACATAATAATAATTATGTGGTGACTTTTTAAAGCTTTATTGATTTTAGCAAGAGACATTGATTTGTTGTCCCACTTATTTATGCATTCATTGATTGATTCTTGTATGTGCCCTGACCGGAGATCGAACCCACGACCTTGGTGTATTGTGACGATGCTCTAACTAACTGAGCCACTTTAACCAGGGCTCTTTTTTGTTCTTGATCACGTCCTTTGTAGCACAAAAGTTTTTAATTTTGATGAAGTTTAATTTATCTATCTTTTGTTGCTGTTTGTGCTTCAGGTATCAGATTTAAGAAACTGTTGCCAAACCCAAAGTCATGAAGATGTACACCTATGTTTTCTTCTAAAAGTTTGATAATTTTAGCACTTACATTTAGATTTTTGGTTCCTATTGAGTTCATTTTTATCCAGTGTTTGAGGTAGGGATCCAAATCCATTCTTTTGCATATTGATGTCCAGCTATCACAGCACCATTTGTTAAAAAGACTATTCTTTCCCATCGAATGATCTTACACCCTTCTTAAAAATCAGTTGACCACATACCTATTAGGAGGTCTACTATTTAAGAAAAAAACACAAAAACCACCCAGAAGACAAGTGTTGGTGAATTTGTGAGGAAACTGGAACCCTTGCAGGTGCAGCTGATAGGGGTATAGGGTGGAACAAAAATATATTTTATTTTTCTCTTCTTGACCCCCCCCATTCCCTCCCTCTTACTAACAGAATGTGTAATCGATTAATCAACTCTGTATATGTTTCACCTTATGTGCTGGCTAACATTGTTGCAGTGCTCAGTTGACCAGGCAGCCAAGCCCTGAGCTTATATCCTGGCCACCAGGAATGTGGGGGCTGGTCAGTTTGGCCTCAGAAACGCTGGAACGATGCCCACCTGATCACCGCTTGGCCAGGTCAGAACACTGACCATCCCATCCTGGGGGCCAGTAATGAAGACATGCATCAAGGCCCAGGACTCAAATTCCAGGGCTGCAAATCACCAGAACCCCAGTTTGTACTCCCTACCCACATTCCCTTTCCCTGATTCCTCTAGATAAGCTTTCTCCTAACAAGCTTTAGGGGAAGGTGGGTGTTAGCGTTTTTATCCATCGCCTTCCCAGATTTCCGGCATCTGATGTTGTTAAATGTGCACTTATAATACAAGCCCTGTCCCTGCTTTTTGTCTGGTAGTGACAAGCAGTACGAACGCCAGACTCAGCTGAACTCCAGTTTCACAGCTGCTATGGAAAACAGTATTGAGATTCCTCAAAATATTTAAAATAGAGTTATCAGATGATCCAGCTATCCCACTCTGGGTGTATGTGCAAAAGAATTAAAAGCAGGGGTGGGACTGAAAGATATTTTTGCACACCCATGTCCATATCAGCACTATTCACAATGGTCGAAAAGTGGAAGAACCAACTCGTCCATCAATGGGCGAATGGGTCAGCAAAATGTAGTCGATATATACAGTGGAAGGCCATTTAGCCTTAAAAAGGAAGGAATTCCTGCCACATGCTGCAACTTGAATGAACCTTGAGGATATGATACTAAGTAAAGTCAGTTACAAAAGACAAATAAAAAGATGTTCAGCATCATTAATCATCAGGAATGTGCAAATTAAAATCACAGTTAGATGCTACCACATACCCCCCAAAATAACTGCAACTAGAAAGGTTAACATTATCGTTGAGCAGCCAGAACTCCTATACTCCTGGTGAGACCATAAACTGGCATAACAATTGGGCATTTCCTTAAATGTTAAATATACAGCCTTGGTCAGTGTGCCTCAGTTGGTTGGGCACCGTCCCAGGCACCAAAATATTGCCAGTTCGGTTCCTGGTCAGGGCACATGCCGGGGTTGTGGGTTTGACCCCTGGTAGGGGGTGTGCAGAAGGCAGTCACTCGATGTTTTACTCTTATATTGCTGTTTCACTCTTTCTCTCCCCCTCTCACTTCCTCTCTCTCTAAAAAAATCAGTTAAAAAAAATCTTTAAAAAAAGTTTTTAGAAGATTAAAAAAAAAAAATTTAAATATACACTTAGCAGTTTGATCCAGCTATTCCACTCCCAGGTTCTTTACTCAAGAAAATGAAAATGAAACATTTATATAAATAAGTGTACACAGTGTTCACATCTTCCTTATGCATAATAACCTAAAATTGGAAATAACCTAAAGTCCATCAGTGGGTGAGTGATTAAACAAATTGTTATATCCATAAAATAAAATTTACCCAGCAATAAAAAGAGATGTTCCTCTGGCACACCTAATCACATAGATCAGTTTTACAGAGAAACTGAGCAAAAACATTGTATGATTCCATTTGTATGAAATTATAGAACAGTCAAAACTAATCTATAGTTTATCAGTGGTTGTCTGGGAAATATCAGTGGTTGTCTGGGACTGAGAGGAGCAGGATTGACAGAGAACTTTTTTGGGTGACAAGAATCTTAAATATCTTGATTGTAGAATGGTTATAATAAGTATATGTAACATTTAAAAAAACCCGTAAATTTCCAAGAATGGGACACTGACCTATCTTCGATCTCTTTTCCAAATAATGAAAGCCATGACGGTCTATCATATCTGATAGTTCTGAGTTTTCTAAAACAAAACAGATGGTGGGTCAAACATTCAACAGGAATTCTAGCAGAAACAAATTTAAATTTTATACTGCCTTAACTTTTGCTTATGTGCCCCCTGTGAGTGTGTCTTACTATATTAGTTTCCTATAGCTGCTGTAATAAATTTTCACGAACTTGGTGGCATAAAGCAACATAAATTATCTTACAATTCTGATGGTCAGGAGTACAAAACAGGGTCTCACCGGGCTAAAATCAAGATGCTATCGGGGCAGATCTGCTTCACGAGGCTCTAGGGGAGAATCCATTTCCTCACTTTTTCCAGCATCTAGATGCTGTTCCCATTCCTTGGTCTCCTTCCATCCAGTTATCACATCGCTCACATCTCTGCTTCCATCTTCACATGTCCTTCTCTGACTGGCTCTTTTGTCTCCCTCGTTTAAGGGTCTGTGTGATTGGATGGGGACTACCCAGACAATCCCAGATCATCTCCCCACCCCAATATCTGTACCCTAATCACATCTTCAAAGTTACTTTTGCCTTTATAAAGTAACATACTTATAGGTTCCAGGGATTAGGAGGTAACAATCTTTTTGGGGGGGGGGTCATCATTCTACCTACCATGAAATCCTTGGCTTCTAAAGGGCCTTCATTGGAGATGTGGCCCTTCTGCTCCTTCCCCAGCTCTCACCTGCCACTTCAAACAGCTGCTTCGTTTTGTGGAGGCTCCAGCTTGACTTTCACAGTTAAGGAAAGTCCTACATTTAGGGCTCAGGTGTTTCGTTTGTAGGATTTGAGATTCAAAGTTCAAGGGTTCCACATTTGAGATCCCAGAGGGAGCCTTAGATCTTGAGTGACCTCAATTCTGGGAGCATGTACTTAAATTCAGAGGAGCTTGACCCAGGTTTGGGGCAACAAGGGCAATGGAATTCGGGACTATGGATAGCATGACTTTTTAGAGGAGGGTAACAAAACAGAAGTGGACTTGACATTACATTTAGCTTTAGCTTCAAGAAGGAAGAGAGATCACCTAAGACTTGTCACCTAATTACCTGACTCAGAGGTCGAAGTCCTTCTGATTTTGCATCTATCAGTGCCCCTCCCCTTTCCAACAAGATTTGGGGCAAAGAGCAAAATAAGAGGAAGTTATAAATAAACTACCTCTCCTAGTTGTTCTTTCTCTGTTCTCCTCAAGAAAGAATGATGTGTCAGTCTTGCCTTAACCTTAATTTAAAGGAAAGTTTTTAAAATTCAGATATTACCAAAGAACTTTGTAATTTGCATATCCTCAGGGATTTATTCTACAGGGATAATTATTTGCGTCATTAGCTTTCTTGTGAACCCATTGATGCTAACCCCACACCAGATTCTCTCTTAATCTGCTACCTGTTTGTACAGTCTAGACACTCAGTGCCTGAGACTCAGGAATGAGTCATTCTTTGCTCAAGCCTGTGGCAGTGGTTACACCTGAAGAAACAATGTTAAGTCATGTTGCTGACGGGAGCAATCAGGACAATATATAACTCCAGGGGGAAAATCCAGTGACACAGCACCATGGCTTCTGACAAAGGTAAAATGGATCCAAGTCCTGGTAAGTGTCATAGTCTTGAAAAGTGCAGAAACTCTGTGTGTGTGTGTGTGTGTGTGTCTTGTTTGTGTCCTTGGACATTTTCCAACTTTCCTATTTATTACTATATTAATACTATTCTCTTTAAAATATAATTTTACTTTATTTAAAAATTGTTTGCCTCCCTGTAGGTGTTATTTTTTGAAGGGGGTTAATCTGCTGAAGTTTTGCCAGAATGTGACTGGCTGTGCTTGGTTAAATAAGATTTGTTATAATTATTAATACTATTAACATCCACAAACAATTTTGATCAAATGACACTAAGTCAATACTTGTTTCACCACAATAAAAGATTAAAGAAAATATACAACTGTTAAATAACAATTTAAGATGACAACAGAAGTGATGCCACAGGGGCATGTTAATTATTTAAGGTTTAGTTAACTCTAGAACAATTCATGGGGAAGGAGAACACTTCAGGCTGTATAAGGAAATAATTTTCAGGTGAGGTGGGATTTTAGCTGGATTCTAAAAGGGTAGAATTTAGATTGGAAAAGAGAAGGCAATTTCAGGTTGTTTGACACAAAAACTTTGAGAGAATTTACAAAGATTATCCTTGGAATATACTGGTTAGGCTAGAGAAGAGTTTATGGAAATAATCTACAGTGAAATTAGAAGGCAAATTTGAAGTGATACTATAGAGGGCTTTGAATGCCAGGCTAAAGAAATTAAGGTTGATCTTTTTGGTAAGAGAAAATCTCTGGAGAACTCGTGAATAGCATAGAAATGACTGAAATATTGCTTTAGGTACATTTACTGTCATGTGATGCCTTTTGGACTGGAAGCAGAAAAGATCGGAAGTGCCTTGGCTGGTGTTGTTCAGTGGTTAGACCATCCACCTGCACACCAAAGGGTTGCCGGTTCGATTCCTGGCCCCAGTTGGGGCACTTGCAGGAAGCAACCAATTGAAGTGTCTCTCTCACATCCATGTTTTTCTCTGTCTCTCTTTCCCCTCCCTCCCCTTCCACTCTCCCTAAAAATCAATGGAAAAAATATGCTCAGTTGAGGATTAACAAAAATAAATAAATAAATAATAAATAGAAAAGACCAGAAGCAAGGAGACCAGTTAGAAGACTATTGTAAGAGTGTGAGCATGATGTGATTGGAGATAAAACAGATATCAGTGTTGGGTTTTAAGAAACAATATTCTTCAAACCTTGGGCCTGTTGAATGCAAAGATGAGGATTGCCACCTCTGATTCTTGCCATCCTAAACTGAGAGCAGGATTTTGCTGTCAATGCCTTCCGTAACCTCTGGGCTCCAGCGGAAGTCTGATTCTGTTTCACTGGTTCAATCATATCTTTCTACATGCTCTTTGTAGATGTCTTTTCTCCTTCCTCTTGAGTTGTTGTTTAAAGAATATGTGTGTATTAAGCCAAAGGTGTTCCAGCTCTCTCCACATTACCAATTACTCTTTCTGTAAATTGTAATTTTTTTTGATCCCCATCTGAGGATATTTTTTCCATTGCTTTTTAGAGAGAGTGGAAAGGAGAGAGAGACATCGATTGGTTTTCTCCCGCACATGCCCCAACGGGCTGGGGATCGAGCCTGCAACCAAGGTACATGCCCTTGGCTGGAATCAAACCCAGGACCCTTCACTCCGCGGGCCGACGCTCTAACCACTGAGCCAAACAGGCTAGGGTTGTAAATTGTAATTTTAATTGAGATCATGGTAGCTTAAAACATGTAGCTTTAAGAAATAATACACGCCCAGCCGGGCGTGGCTCAGCGGTTGAGCATCGGCCTAGGATCCAGGCGATCAGGGTTCAATTCCCGGTCAGGGCACATGCCCCGGTTGGGGCTGCAGCAGATCAATGACTCTCTCATCATTGATGTTTCTATCTCTCTCTCTCCCTCTCCCTTCCTCTGAAATCAATAAAGATACATTAAAAAAAAAAAAAAAGAAAGAATACAGACAGACTACTTGGACATTTTGCTGTTTCCCCCAATAGTTACATTTTGCAAAACTACAGAATAACATCAGAACCAGGATACTAGCATTGACACAATCCACCAATTTTATTCAGATTTCCCTAGTTTCACCTGTACTCGTTTGTGTGTGTGCGTGCGCAGTTTTATGCAGTTTTGCCGCCTGTACAGGTTTGTGTCTCTGCCACCAGAGTCAGAACTCAACAGTTGCGGCAGTACAGATCTGTTTTATTGCCCTTTATAACCAGACCCTCCTCCCTCCTGCTTCACCCCTTTCCTAACCCTTGATAACTATTGATCTGTTCTTACTTCTACACTTTTGTCGTTTTAAAATGCAATTCAATTTGTATCTGGGTGTTATTTGACGTATTCATCTCTCAGCAGGTCCTTCAGCTGTGGATCCCACCCTGAGGTAAGAATAATACTGTTAGCCCTGGCCCAGTAGCTCAGTTGGTTAGAGCCTTGTCCCAATACCCCAAAGTTGTGGGTTTGATTTTTGGTCAGGGCACATGCAAGAATGAACCAAGTAGCCCTGGCCAGTGTAGCTCAGTGGGCTGAGCTTTGTCCCATTCAAGGACAGGTCACTTGTTCAATTCCCAGTCAAGGCAGATACCCAGGCTGTGGGTTTGATCCCCTGCTGGGGGTGCATACTGGAGGCAACTGATCAATGTTGCTCTCTCACATCAATGTTTCTCTCTCTCTCCCTTTCCCTTCCTCTGTCTCTAAAAATCAATAAAAACATTAAAAAAGAGAATGAACCAATTAATGAATTGAATTGCATATATAAGTGGAACCACAAATCAATGTTTCTCTCTCCGTTCTTTTCTCTCTCTCAAAATCAATAAAAAACTTTTAAAAAGAGTAAACTGTTATATTGTGCGTTTAATGGAACCAAGAGGACTATAGCTTTCCTTATTGTTCCTTTCCCTTTTACCACTTTCCCATTCTTTTTTTATTTCCCTTTTCCAACTTCATTCTCTATGATTATTGCTTTCTATGTATTTGCTCTTGTCTTTTGGTTTCTGTTTAAATAAATTACCTTCCAGCTTTGTTCTGTTATTGTCTTACTAATACTCTTCTCTAGATCACATATTTTTATAGCCATTAGTGAAAGGTCAAGGAACTGATTTGTCACTTTGATTTCATCTTTCTATTTTATGTTACATGCCCATTTTCCAGACATATCATTGTAGCAGGGGGACTTTCATCAAGGAATATATTATCTCATGATTGTGGGAAGACTTATTTATGTAATAAATGAATGTGATACTTTATGTAATAAATGTTAGTGAGAAATATTAGAATGTAACAAGCTTATGGCTCAACCATGTTGGAAAGGAGAGTCCTCATTGGAAAGGAAGCTCAGCACAATCCCGAGTTTCCCGAGTCACAGCTTTGACACATGGAGAGTTTACTTCTAACGATGCCATTGAGAGCAAGTTGAATTTCTTTCTTATGAGGTATACACAATTTAATGTGGAGGAATCCTGAGGCTAAATTATTCTCTTCTTAGGCTCGGCAATAGAATTTGGTTGGTAATTTGAGGCTTCTACACCTGAGAAAATCTAGTTAGGGTCCACTGAAGGATAGCAAATATTAACAATTGGGACATGGCACTTCTAAGAGTGAGACAGAAAGATTAGAATATAACGAGAAAAAGAACACAGTTATACCTGAGTTCAAGACTAACAAGCAATGGTGTAAGGAGAGTGGTGACCAAATAACATGAATTGAAAAAATTCTTTATTGTGTTTGTGAGAGAAACTCTGATAATTCAAGTGGACCTCCCGGGATAACTATAAGACACAGGAAAAAAAGTTTCCCAAGATTCATATTTTAGATCTGCCTTATAAATGAAGGGAGCACTAAATGATTTTTAAAGTTCCTCTAACAATTGCATGACAATATTTTAGGAGAAGAATTGAACCCTGGGAATTTGAAGCAATCTTTGACCCCAGGGAACTCCGTAAAGAGGCCTGTCTGCTCTATGAAATCAAGTGGGGCACATGTCACAAGATCTGGCGACACTCAGGCAAAAACACCACCAAGCACGTTGAAGTCAATTTTATAGAAAAAATTACTTCAGAAAGACAATTTTGCTCATCCATCAGCTGCTCCATCATCTGGTTCATGTCCTGGAGTCCCTGTTGGGAATGCTCCAAGGCTATTACAGAATTTTTGCATCAACGACCTAAGGTGACTTTAGTTATTTATGTAGCACGGCTTTATCACCACATGGATGAACAAAACCGACAAGGACTCAGGGACCTCATTAAGAGTGGTGTGACTATCCAGACCATGACGACCCCAGGTAAAAATAAATCTGAAGTGTTCATGAGAGACTGTGGTGGTGGTCAGGAGATTGATTATCCCAGAATGGATGTCTCAGAAGTAAAAGTTCAAAATAATATGAGAAAGCACCAGGTCTGAAATTCATAGCAGGGAAAGTATAAAAAAATACAACTCCTTCAAATGAACTGCTTTGTTCTTTTTAGGGGTTCTGGGAGAGTCTAGCCCATCTGCAGTAGCAAATATGCCAGAGGGCTTTATATATGGTGTATATGTGTGTGTGTGTCCCCCCAAAATGTATACACACTTAACAGCTGGTAGCTCAATTGATGTTTCTTGCTTTTCAGATTTAATCCATTGTAATTAATAATTACTCAAAGTGTGTATACATTTTTTGGGACACCCTGTATTTAAGTTTGGCTTTCTTTAAGTAACTTTCTGTTGCATTTATTGAATGAACCAAGATTTGTGTTTCCTTAGAGTATGATTACTGCTGGAGGAATTTTGTCAACTACCCACCTGGAAAAGAGGCTTACTGTCCAAGATACCCCCCTCTGTGGATGAACCTGTATGTACTGGAACTCCACTGCATAATTTTAGTAAGTTATTTTAAGAGACAAAGATTCTTATGCAAAAAAAAAAAAAAAAATAGCATCCTTCTTCAAATTTCTTTTCTGATAATTTTGACACATGCTCTCCTCACCATTTGTCATTTATATTGAGCCTTAGTTATTTAACTACTTGATCTTAAGAAAATGTAAGACAGTCTATTTGTGGGAAATAAGTGGGAAAGGGGAATGAATAAACTGTTCTAAGGTATATGTGGACTCCCTATTAATTAGTGTTATTATTATTATAACACCTACTCACTCTACAGGATTGCAGATATTCTCATTTCCCATATTGGTGGTATCATTCTATTGAAGAAATGTAGGTGTTCCATTTGTATTCTCTTGAGAGTAGTTCAGTCGTCTTTTAACTGATGTTATGAAATGATTGTGGTAAAATAGAATTAAGAAAATATTATCTTAACTTTTTTTTTTTTTTATAAATTTCAGAGTCTTCCTCCCTGTTTAATGATTTCAAGAAGATATCAAAAACAACTTACATGGTTCAGGCTTAGTCTTCAAAATTGCCACTACCAAAAGATTCCATACCATATCCTTTTAGCTACAGGGTTGATACAATTTCCTGTGATTTGGAGGTGAATAGAATGATTCTTTGCTGGCAATGATGATTTGCTAAAGATTGGGTGCCATTAGAATCTAGAAATTTTCAGTTTCTGTAACTATAAGTCATCTTAAAAAATAAAGAAGACCATGACATTTACAATAGCATCAAAAACAAAACAACAAACAACAACAACATAGGAATAAATTTAACTAAGGAGGTAAAAGGCTGAAAACTAAGATATTGATGAAACAAATTGAAGAAGACACAAATAAATGGAAGGGTATCCCATGTTTGTGATTTCAAAGACTATTATAAAAATGTCAATATGACTTAAAACCATCTATTGATTCAATGCAACACTATCAAGATTCCAATGGACTTTTTCACAGAAAAAATACAATTCTAAAATTCATATGGAACCACAGAAGACCTGAATAGCCAAAGCAGCACTGAAAAAGAAGAACAAAGCTGGATGAATTATAATTCCTGATTTCAAACTATATTACAAAGCTACAGTAATCAAAAGAGTATGTATTGGCATAAAAACATAGACCAGTGGAACAGAATAGAGAGCCCAGAAATAAACCTATACATATGTGGTTAACTAATATTTGGCAAGGAAATTTGGAACACTCAATGGGGAAAAGGTAGCTCCTTCAATAAATGATATTCATATTCAAAAGATGAAGTGGTACCCCTATATTACACTATTCACAGAAATTATTTTAAAATGGTTTAAAGACTTAAATGTAAGACTTAAAACCATAAAACTCCTAGATGAAAACATGGGGGAAATCTACTTGACCTTAGTCTTGGAAACAGTTTTATGGATATTACACCAAAGTACAAGCAACAAAAGCAAAAATAAGCAACTGGGACTACAGAAAATTAAAAAGTTTCTGCACAGAAAAAGAAACAATTGCCCGGCTGGTGTGGCTCAGCAGTTGAGCATCAACCTAGGATCCAGGAGATTGTAGTTTGATTCCCAGTCAGGGCACATGCCTGGGGTGCAGGCTTGATCCCCAGTTGGGGGTGTGCAGGAGGCAGCTGATCAATGAGTCTCTCATCATTGATGTTTCTCTCTCTCTCTCTCCCTCTCTCCCCCCCCTTCCTCTTCCTGAAATCAATAAAGATAAAAAAAAAGAAAAGAAAAGAAACAGTTAACAAAATGAAAAGGCAACCTATGAAATGGGAAAAATATTTGTAAGCCATGTATCTGATATGGGGCAAATGTCCAAAATATGTAATGAACTCATACAACTCAATAGCAAAAAACAAAAACAACTCAAATAATCTGATTTTAAAGTGGGCAAAGGACCTACATAGACATTTTTCCAAAAAAGATATTCAATTGGCCAACAGCTACTAATGAAAAGTTGGTCAACATCGCTAATCATCAGAAAAATGCAAATCAAAACCATAGTGAAATAATACCTCACACCTCTTAGAATTTCTATCACCAGAAAGACAAGAGATGTGTTGGCTAGGCTATGGAGAAAATGAAGCCCTTGTACATGGTGGGTGGGAATGTAAATATAGGTAAAGTCACTATGGAATACAATACGGAGGTTCCTCAAAAATTAAAAATAGAACTACCATATAATTCAGCTATTATACTCCTGGGTACATATCTAAAGAGAAAAAAATCACTATCTTAAAGAGAGAGTTTCACTCTCATGTTCATTGCATTATTTACAATAGCCAAGGCATGAAAATAACCTAAGTTTCCATCAATAGATGAGTGAGTAAAAAGATTTTTATATACATATATATCATGAAATATTATGTACCCACAAAAAGGGGGAAATCCTGCCATTTGCAAAAACATGAATGAATCTTGAGGGCATTACGTTATTTTAAATAAGTCAGAGAGAAAGAGATAAATACTATATGATGAACCCCCCCACACACACACACACACGTATAAGCAGCTTAGTGGTTGCCAGGGTCAGGGTGAAGGTGGTCAAAGAGTACAAACTTCCAGCTTTACAACGAATAAGTTCTGGCACGCAATGTGTAGCATGGTGGTTATAGTTAACAATACTGTATTGTATACTTGAAATTTGCTAAGAGAGTAGATCTTAAACATTCTTACCTCCCACCAAAACTTGTAATTGTGTGAGGTGATGAATATGTTAACTCATATCATTTTGCAGCATATACATATAGCAAATCATTATGTTGCACACCTTAAACTTACATAATATTATGTGTCAATTATGTCTCAATAAAATCTTGGGGTGGGGGAGAAAATAAAACAAATGAACCTAGAAATTTTTACAAACAGCAGTATCATGGATTGTATTATCTACTGCTGTTTTGCAAATTACCCCAATACTTTGTGGATTAAAACAATAATACATATTTATTACATCACAGTTTCTCTGGGTCAGGAATTCAGAAGCAACTTAGTGTGCAAACTGTCAGCGAGGGCTGCAGTCATCTTTTTTTTTTTTTTACTTTTTAAATTTATCTTTATTGTTGAGAGTATTAAGGTATATCATTTCCCCCCACCAATTGATCCCCTCCACTTCCCTCCCATCCCCTTCCCAGGCCTTCACCCTGTTATTAACTGTGTCCATGGGTTATGCATATAACTTCTTTGGTTAATCTCTTCCCACCCTCCACCCCCCTTCCCTCTTTCCTCTGAAATATGATCGTCTGTTGCATGCATCAATGTCCCTTGATCTATTTAGTTCATCAGATTCTTTTGTTCATTAGCTTCTTCTTAAAGAAGACCCTTCAACTTTTCCTGTAGTGCTGGTCTGGTGCTGATGAACTCCTTTAGCTTTTTTTTTTATCTGCGAAGCTCCTTATCTGACCTTCAATTCTAAATGATAGCTTTGCTGGGTAGAGCAATCTTGGTTGTAGTTCCATGTTTTTCATCACTTTGAGTATTTCTTGCCACTCCCTTCTGGCCTGCAAAGTTTCTGTTGAGAAATCAGCTGACAGTCGTATGGAGGCTTCCTTGTAGGTAACTAATTGCTTTTCTCTTGCTTCTTTTAAGATTCTCTCTTTGTCTTTAACCTTTGGCATTTTAATTATGATGTGT